CTGGGACTTCAACACCGCGAACCAACGTGACTGCTGTACCCTCCTAATCCTGAATCCGCGGACCCTGTCGTCCCGTCGACGGGGAGCCTTTTTTCCTCTCCTCCTTCACATCCTCCTCTCTTGTCGGGGGAGAGAGAGGGAGAGAAAGAGAGAAAAACAGAGAGAGAGAGAGAGAGACAGAGAGAAAACACCCTTCCTTGTTCGGGGAACGGGTTCGCAGCTTGAGGGAATCCCACCAGCTCTTCAGGGCGTAGGTGGTTTAGGCTGCTTCCTCTTCCACCACCTTCTTCCCCTTCGGGGAAAGGTTCACCCCTCCCCCTACCCCCTCCCCTGGACATAGGCGGGGCGTTTCGCGAGCGGCCGGAGCGTTCAAAACGGCCTCGGCGAGGAAGCCAAAATCATTGGTTTTACTACGGTTTGGGCCCCATTTTGGCCTTTGGTGGGGCGAGCTAATTAAGGACCCCCCCTTCTTTGATCGATATCCTCAGAGGTGGCCCCACGAGCGCTTCCAAGGCTCCCAAGGGTGCCCCAAGAGAGCCCCCAAAGGTGGCCAGATGCCCCCAAGAGGCCCCCAAGAGGCCCCCAGGATGCCCCCAAGGGGCCCCCACGAGACACCCAAGAGGCCCCCCAGAGACACCCAAGACGCTCCAAGAGGCCTCGGCGAGAATGCCCAAATCATTGATTGGCCACATTTTTTTGGGGGGGGGGCACTGCTTAAGATGACTCCAAAAGCGCCTGGGAGAGCCCAAGATGACCTCCAAGATGGCTCAAGATATCCCGTCTCGTTGTCGCCCACCTACAGTCACCTCCTCCGCTTTCCCCTGGCCATCCTATTCCACGCGCTCCTTCCACTCCAGTTCCTGCTGCTGCTGCTGTTCGTCCTCGACCTCCTCATTTCTCATCCTGCTCCGTTTCCTCCTGCTCATCCTCCTGCTCATCTGCCACCTCCTCCTCCTCCTCCTCCACCTCCTACTCCTGTGTACGCATCTTCCTTTTTCGATTGTACATATCACGATGAACTCTTCCTAGAGTTCCAGGTCCGCGATGACACGCGTCCGCGGATACAAACAATAACTGCGCAGTGGGAAGGTATGGGTGGGAGGTGTGGGATGTCACAGATGGCGGGAGCGCACCTAGCTTGCCACCCCTTCTCCCTAAGCCCTTCCGCCCCCTCTCCTCTCCATTCCCCCTCTCGCTTCCCCGTGCCCCTCCCACAATTCCCCCCGCCCCTGATCTACACCCTCTCTGTCTCCTTTCCCGTTCCTTCCCAGCACGGGGATACAAAGCTCATATGCAGCACTTCGGGTGACAGTGAGGATGAGTCCAACTTGCGGAGGATGGGTGCAACTATCGAATTGCGATTGGCATCGCGTCATATTGAGAGTCTAGCCACCTACGTGTCTGCACAACCATGCAGCAGGCCCGCGCATGAGCGAACTATACAGCTATCCTTGTGACGGCGATCGGTCTGCCTACACGCGTATGTATACATACATACATACATACATACATGCATACATACATACATGCATGCATACATACATGCATACATGCATGCATGCATGCATACATACATACATTCAGACAGACACACACTCATGCATACATACATACATACATACATACATACATACATAACCACACATACATACATACATACATACATACATATATACACACATACATACATACATACATACATACATACATACATACATACATACATACATACATACATGCACACACATACATACATACGTACATACATGCATACATACATACATACATACATACATACATACTTACATACATACATACGTACATACGTACATACGTACATACGTACATACGTACGTACGTACATACACACACATACATACATACATACATACATACATACACATACACATACACATACACATACACATACACATACACATACACATACACATACACATACACATACACATACACATACACATACACATACACATACACATACACACACATACATACACATACATCCATACATTCATTCATACATACATGCATTCATACATTCATACATACATACATTCTTCATTCATACATACATACATACATACATACATACATACATACATACGTGTGGATACACATCTGCACCTGTTATACACACGTTATTATGGCTGCATGTGTCCTATCTAGATACGGCCCACGGACAGTGTTTGCCCGACTTGGCCCTGGCCTCGGCCGACACATCCTCGCTCTCGCGTAGCTCACCCTCACCCACACGCGCGACGCGAAGCGAAACCGATACATCCCTGCTGGGGTGGCTTCGTTCTCACCCCCCGAGCTCCAACCGATGGGAGAAGAGAAGACGCCACAAACATCAACTTTTGGCGCTCCGCCGGAGGCGCCGCCGGGGGGGGCCCAGCGCGGATTCAAGAAATCCGCGCGGAGCGCTCAAAGTTTATGTGTCGAGGCAAGGCGGCTCCGGCGCCGGAGCCGAAAATCGGGCTGCATGCAGCAGCTTTCGTATCCCCCTCTTTCCCGATCCCCATCCCCAGCGGCCCTTCGGGTTTCGAGGCGTGTATCCACAACTGGGGTGGTAATTTGGTGGGGGTTTCTCGAAAGGGATGGGGATGGGCACGGGGATTGGTTAAACGATACTGATGTATGGCGCTTTCCTTCTTCGAACTGCGGTGCAGCAGAGTAATGGCGGACGCAAGCTGATCGGGCACCTGCAGCTGGTCTTTGCCCTGGCGCCTCCCGAAGACAGAGGCAGTCGCGTGTCGAGGCAAGGAACTCCGTGTGCAGGAGCCGAAAATCAGGCTGCATGCCGCAGCTGTTGGCATCCCCCTCTTTGAAGGGGCCCTGGGACACACAAATGAATAGACACAAGTAACAAGATTCCCGCTATTTTCCAATTGTTTCTAGGCTGTCATCTTCCCCCCCTTCCCATATTATCCCATAAAATCTGGGGAATCGACGATGAATTGTGTCTGTGTTTTTTCCCCCCTGACTCTTTCCCGGCCCCCCCCTCTGGTCAGCACCGATACGTGCACCTATCGGAACACTGCGAGCTGAGACGCTTGCAGCTCCAACTCGGTCCCCGGACCCCTCCCAGGGCTCGAACGCACCAATTCTCCGAGCTGCGTCCAACCAGGGCGGCGAGGAGGCCCCCCGAAGGCCCACGGCCGCGATCTCAACTCGCCCTCCTCTGGACCTCCGTGTTGCTCCCCCGACGGCGCGGCTGCCCTGGCTGGGGTGCCACACGGCGCCGGCCCTCGACCACTCTGCGGCAGGGAGCGCCACGGGCGCCGCAGCTGCACCCCAGGGCGTGCCCGCCTCGTGGGCCTCGTGGGCCTTCCAGCCGCAGCGGGCCTGGGCGGCCCCCGCCTCCGGCGCGCCCAGGGCGGTGATTTCGTACCCGTCTGCCTCGGGCGCCAGGCGTTGGTCGCCCCAGTGGCACAGCCTGCCCTGGTAGCACGCCGGCTGGTATCCCAAGCCGGGCAATGATGGAACTATTACATCGGGGCCTACACTGTAGCCTAGCTCTCCAAGGAAGTCACCCATCAAAGTCCTCGACGGACGCGCGGGAGCCAAACGGCTCTGTTGATCCCTTCTCTTGTCACAGCCTCGTGCACCCACCTGTCTGCCCTCACTCTCCCCATGATGCTCGCATGTACAAACGAGCGTAACCGCGCGAAACGAAACTGACTGGAGAAAGGGTCTCTCGGGAGGTATCCAGCATGCATACCTACACGCATGTATACGTGCATATCTTTACGAATTACTCCGAGAGCGGAAGCGTGGAAAACTTGGCAGGAGCGAGCGAAATGGCCGGGATCGTCTGTGGATGGACCCACGGGGGCCTTAGGTGGAGCACGCAATAGGACCTGAAAAACGTGACAAGCACGAGCCGAATGGGCTTGGTCACGTATACGTGCCCTGCCACTGGGGCAAATCCGCCGACTCTGCCGGCGTGTGTGAACGGCTTTTTCGTTTGAGCCGTCGTCGACGTCGTCGTCGTCGTCGCACGGGGGCGGGGGTGCCCCACCCCCCTCTGGGAGAAGCTTTCGCATCTAGAGCGTCAGTGTCGTCGTCGTCATCGCCGTCGCCGTCGTCGCCGTCGCCGCCGTCGGCCGTCGCCGTCGCCGTCGCCGTCGCCGTCACTGTCGCCGTCACTGTCGCCGTCGCCATCGTCGCCGTTGCCGTCGCCGTCGCCGTCACTGTCGCCGTCGCCGTCGCCGTCGCCGTCGCCGTCGCCGTCGTCGTCGCCGTCGCCGTCGCCGTCGCCGTCGCCCCCCTTCAGGGTCGGCAGCACTGGCCGTAAGGCCTTCACAATGATACTGGCTGTTGTGCTGCAAATGGCGCCGTTACCCTACCGAAGAAAAAACTCCACGAACGAGCTCTGGCCCGGGAAAAAAGAAAGAGGGTGAGGGAGGAAGGACACGCGCAGCAGAGGATCACAAAACCGTGGCTGTCCTCCTCCTGCTCCACCTCCACCTCCTCCTCCTCTTCTTCCTCCTCCCATTCCTCCTCATTCCCCTCCTCCTATTCCTCCTTTTCCTCCTCCTCCTCCTCCTCCTCCTCCTCTGCCTCGTCGATTTCCTCCTCGCCCCTCCCCCACCTGAGGCTCGACACAGGAAAGCCGCATCCGCTGCCCCCATGAGTTGCACCCACGTGCTGCCTCTGTGTATTGCCCCCATGTCTTGGCCCCATGTGTCGTCGCTGAGGGCCGAGCGTTCCACCCAACTACGTGCGCGCAGGTAGGCATTACGACCGTTCGGGCCCACGTCACTCTGACAGTTTCAACTAAAACAACGCTTGTGGGAAAATGGGCCAGCCTGGCCGAAGGGCAGTTACCTGCAGATCCCTATGCGCAACGACGGCAGATCCTAGACCCCCAGTGAACCAATCGAGGGGCCCTGACGACAACAAAAAAGCACCCATCGGGGCCCAGGGGAGCAACAGAAGGCACGAATATAAACTCTGGGAGGTCCGCACGGATTTGTCTTGAACCCGCGCAGGATCCCCCCGTCCCCAGCCCGCGGAACGCGCCAGGAGCGGCGCCGGAGACGCCGCCCTTGGAGGCCCCGGCGCCGACCCAGGAAGCCAGCTTGAGGTTGCGGAAACTGCTGCTTGTCCTGGGCCCTGTCAGGAGAGCCCAGAATCGAATCGATAAATCTGATCGGCGATCGAAAATAATCGGATCGGCGGAGAGCGGCAGCCGAGTCGGGAGAAGTCGAATCGGTAGACATCGGCAGGCTAGCAGGCCTCCATTGAGAAATCGGATCCCAAATCGGAATTCAGAGTCGAATCGAATCGGAATCTGAATCCACCGCAATCGAATCGAATCGAATCGGAGGAATCGAAACGAATCCCTGGCCCTGGGGCCTCTCCCCGAAGCCCTTCTCTCTGAACCGTTGCCGACAATCGCGGGCCCGCGGAGGGCCCCCCAAAAACTGCGGCACGCCGTGGAGGGCCCGCTCCCCTCACAGGACCCGTCCTCCCTCCTGGCGAACCCTTCAAGAGCTCTGGGCTACTCTGTAAGAACGGTTTCTTGAAGGCAGATCTGCCTTCAAAAAACCGTTCTTTTTGAAGGCAGATCTGCCTTCAAAAAACCGTTCTTACAGAGTAGACCAGTCCTCCCTCCTGGCGAACCCTTCAAGAGTTCTGGGCGCCTGTGGATCCGCGCTGGATCCCCCTCCCCGGCTCGCGCTGCCCGCCAGAAGGGGGGGGGCACCAGACGCGGGCCGCCAGGGGGGCCCCAGCGCCGATCCAACAGAGCTGCAGGAGTCCCACCAGCCCTCTGGGCGTCGGTGGTTCAGGGCGTTTCCTCGTCCACCCCTCCTTCTTCCTTTTCGGGGAGGGGTTTATCCCTCCCTGTACCCCCTCCCCGTGGATCTGGACAAGGGGTTCGGCGAGCCGTCGGAACGTCCAAAACGGCCTCGGCGAGGAAGCCAAAATCATTGGTTTTAATATTGTTTTGGCCCCATTTTGGCCTCCTGGGGGGGGGCGCTGATTGAACACCCCCCCTCCTGTGATCGACCTCACCCAAGATGGTCCAAAGATGGCCCCCAAAGCTCCCAAGGGTGCCCCAAGAGGGCCCCAAGAGGCGGCCAGGAACCCCCCAAAAACCCGCAGGATGCCCCCAAAGAGGCTCCCAAGAGGCCTCCAAGAGACCTCCAAGAGACCCCCAAGAGGCCCCCCTGAGGCACCCAAGACGCTCCAAGAGGCCTCGGCGACAATGCCAAAACCGCTGATTTTACAAATGTTTCGGCCACGTGTTGGCCTCCAGGGGGGGGTTCAGCTGACTCCAAAAACGCCTGGGAGAGCCAAAGATGATTTCCAAGATGGCTCAATATATCCCAAGATGCCTCAAGATGGCGCCCGCGATGCTCCAAGAGGCCCCAAAACCGTTTCAGGACGGCTCCAAGTGGCCAAAGAGCTCCCCCAGGAGGCCCCGAAGAGACCCAAATCCTTCCAAAACCTTTTTGGGAAATCCACGTTTTTGGCTTCCTCGCCGAGGCCTCAAGATGGTTCCAAGATGGCCCAAGAGGGCTCCAAACGCGCCCCCAAGGCTCCCAAGAACGCTCCAAGAGGGCTCCAAAAGGCGTCCAGGACGCCCCAAGAGGCCCCAACAGGCGCCCCAAAGGCCTCCAAAAGGCTCCCAAGAGACCCCAAAGAGGCCCCAAGAAACTCTCCGAGGCACCCTGAACGCTCTAAGAGGCGCCCGGGACCGCCAAGAGGCCCCCAAAACGCTCCAATAAGCCTCCCCTGGGGGACCTTTCCTCTGCGTGCTGCCCGCTGCCCTGCTCGAAGCAATTCCTCTGGGCATCGTTTCTGGGTGGGCTGGTGGGGATTCCTGTTGGCCAACAGGCTCGCGAGGCGGGTCGAAAACCGTCCGAACACCAGTCGGGCCGCGACTAGGCAGCAGGAAAAGAAAGGCAAGCGAAGCGAGCGAGCCAACAGCCACCCAGAAGGAGAGCCAAAACCGATATTCCAAAACCTGGTGGCGTGGGAAATCCCGGTGGCGACCAGCAAGTATGCGCAGCCAAAACGGCGCGGCGGCGCGACCAGAAACACGCAGATGTCGATCGCTCGGTGTGAGTCAGGCAAACAGCACCGTCAGAGACGGACTATACCGACAGGCAGACCCAGACGACATCAGTGAAGCAGGCGACACAAATGCTGGTGGGGATTCGCGAAGCGTCAACAATTTATTTGTCGATCGGGGATGTCCTCCTACAGGCAGATTTTGGAAAACGAGCAGCATCTAGTCAAACAATAACCGAGGATACATCAACAAAGACGAAAACTAGTCACCAGGCCATGTGTATACGATTCGTGACGATTCCTTCTGTACAGAGACATGCCGGACTTCAGTTTATATAGGAGTCCCCCGAAAAGCCCCCCAAGAGACCCCACCGAACATCCAAGAGATCCACCTCGGCACGGTGGTGGGATGGGATGGGCCGAAGGCCATTCGATAGAATCTGGAAGTCCTCGGGGGTCCCCGAGGCTCTATTTGGCCCGTCCGCGGGGGCCCAACGGGCCCTAACTATTCTCTGGCAGTTGATGCCCGCGCGCAGCGTACCAGACCACCTCCACGGCCTCGACAGGCCCCAACGACCACGATCGCTCGTCGACGAACCGGTGACCACCATGGGTTTGACTCATCTCAACAACTCTACGAGCCATGTCAGTTACACCTTCGCAACCGCGCCAACCTGGGTCTCGGCCTTCGCCGAGGGTTGAACTGCAATGCAAAGCGCGACGGGCTCGGAGCGCCTGCAAACAGGGGGCGCTGGCTGCTGCGGCGCGGGGATGGGGCTCATCCCCTGGCCGTCTGCAGCGCCCGGGTTAGCGGGATAGCCTCTGGGGCTGCCCGACGCCCCCCAGGTAGCAAGATGGGGCCACTGCTCAAGTCACAAAAATGTTAACCGCCCCCCTCCAACGCCCCGCACCCGCCCGCCCGCCCCCCCCCTTGGCGCGCGCCTCGGCACGGCGACTGGGAGCAACAAGAGCGAAACGAGCAGCGAGCACGAGCGCATCGTTAACGCTGACATGGCCTGCCTGCACTAGAGCAAGATGCCTCATCAAATGCCTGCCTATCATCACCTTCTGTGTAAAACACAACCCTTTTTTGGATCCGTCGGCGCCCCCCCCGCTCCCCCCTCCATCGTGGGTTCCAGTTCGTCGAGCATCTCCTGTGCCATCCTCTCCAATGCCTCCATGTGCTCGCAGCGCCATCGGCAGAACTGTCTCGAGGCTGGTGAACTCCGCTCGCGGGGCAAAAGATATATTGTACTTGTCCTCCCCGTTGTCCTTCGTCTTGACCGGCTCGACTTTGCGATGGAGGACCGTCTCAGCCAGGTCGAATACCAACTTCGCTGCCTTGATTCGCGTCTTCCAGAAACTCTAGCGCACTGCCGCGTCGCCGCCCTCGAGAGCGTCTCCGAGCTTGGCGCAGCCGCGGAGAACAGCCACGAAGATGCACGGGCATCGGGCACGGTGGGCCAAAAGCTCCCACGGCGTCAGGAACCTTCGTCGCCTCTTTTGCCTTGGCGTGGTAGGCGATGCCTTCCGTCTTGGCCCCCGTGGCCGCGTCGCGGTCGACGGGAAGCAGGCGCGCGTGCCAGAGAACGCCTGCGATCTCGCGGATGTCGGCGGCATCGGTGAGGGCGAGGCGCGTCGGCGCGATCAGCAGCTTCGACGCGCTCTTGACGTTCTCAACTCCCGACAAGTCGACACTTCCCCGCGCCATCAGCGGTTGCGCGCCCGCGGACGGAACCTTTCCACCTCGCCTGAGCCCCCAGGAAGGCATGAGTACGTGCATGAACTTGCAGATCATCGAAACTAGAACCGACATTGCTACGCAGGTGGAAGTGCCGTCGACCAGGGCGGCGCCTTCTACCATGGCATCTGACATCTGTGACACAAACGCCTCCTCGACAAAGTGCGTTCATTACGTGTCGCTGCGCCCTCGGGATATCAACGTGCGCAGTGAGGCAGTGCGGACATAGGTTCGTCTTAAAATCTGCATCCAAGGGCCCCTCGCGCCATGCATCGACAGACTGCGTTGATTGACGGCCTTGACGCTGCGAAAGACTCGCGCGCAGGTGCTGCCCTCTTGCACATACCCACGTACCCAACGCTCATGATCATCGAGTGCTGGAGTCCCACGCGCCTCATCCTGCGCCTCAGGAACTGGCGCGCCACCCTGACGAAGTCGATCGAAGTCGAACTCGCATACATCGTTAGCGAGATCGAGGTGCCGAAAAAAACTCGAGAAAGCCGCGTCGCAAAACCGTGCCCACGAAGCCGCCCTCACCGCCCATCATCTGAACCCCCTCCAGGATGTCCGCCCTCATCTGTTTGACCCGCGGCTTAGCTCCCGTTGTGATGTCCTGTTCGATCGCAGTGTCATGCTGTTCGAAATCGTTATGGGGTTGTTTCCACGGCCTCGCGGGATACGGCTGAACTCGCTTCAGTCGTCGAATCCTCATTTCTAGACAAGCGGGCGCGATGCGCCAATATTTCAAAATTTTCGCTCGTGATCATACTGCGATGCGTTCCAAAATCCTCAGTCAAAACATGCGCTGCCCCCTGCGTGGCTTTCCGCGCAAGGAAAGCGGGGGCCCTGTCCAAGGCCTGGTACTGAACACCTCTAGGGACATGCGCATCTACTCCGTGAAGCAATGTGTTTTGGACGCAACATCTCAGCATGCTTCGGCGCACCTTCCATGGCTGTTTCAAGGGAAACCAGAAATCTCCGAGCGATTTGTGCGCCGCGAGAGCCACCTGCTTCCTGTTTTGTTTGCAGCTGGGGTGCGAAGCTGAGGCTCGCAGCAACCTGCGCGCCCAGATACGGCGCCGAAGCGCAGTGCTTGACAAGAAGTGGAAGAACCCCACTCCATAAACATTCAGCCGCTAAGGAACGGCCATCACCTGCAAACAAAACGAACTATCTCCTGCTGCCCGCGGTTTTGCCTGCGTCCGACGGCGGCGAGAGCCTCGCCCAAACACGCGTTGGCCAGAGAAGGGTCGACGCGCAAACTCGGTCAAGCGTTCTCCGACCCTAGAGAGCAAAACTGGAACAAATCCTCTGCGCGCTGAAACGCCGACATGTCCACCGAGCGCTCGGAGAA